GGGATCCGGAATCCCACTAACGATTGGAGTCGGGAATCCAAGTGCTACTGGCAAAGAATCCGGAATCGAGTACCTGGAATCCAGAATCCAAGGTGAGAAATCCAGAATCCAAGAGACTGTCTTGGATTCCTTTACATCGGGCGAACGGAACGGATCGGATAACACAATATCGATGGGTACTTTTTAGCTGGAACCTAACGAATGTGGACGTAATAAGGTGCTGTATGACAGGGGCTTCACTGTATAACTAAGAAAACCGCAAACTACTTCAACTTATTTCAATTTCAACTTTATCTGCACTGTTCAGACGAATTAATCTTACACATACAGAATATATAATTACAGAAATGTACTATTTAAATTTTAATAAATGGAAAATCTAGAGAGGATGTGCACAGTGGCCAAAGGAGCCGAGGCTTTCGAGTTGACCACTGTCATGTTTGAAATATAATCAGGAAAACAACAACAACAACAAAAACAAGATTTACATTCGTTAAAATTAACGGGCACATTGTTAGCATAATGTACAGTAGATATTATACTCAAATGGATCAGTTTTCTGTGTTAAGCTTTAGCTCTTCACTCATAAAAAACAGCCTTAAAGGGACTGTGTCACGATAGTGAGCATGTGTGAGCTCTGACAGTAGCTGATTGTTTTTAAACCAATCGAAAGCGAGGAAGATGAACGCAAGGAAATTTACAAACTTCAAAAATTTATTGTTCGCCAAGTGGGAGACTTCCGGACGTTTTTGTTTGAGTTTACATATCACCATAATTGATATTAATTTTCTGATATTCCTCAGATATATGTTGCAGCCGATAAGAATAAGATTAACAACGCTGTCCTGCTTTGAAACAAACATCTACCTAGGTGTAGTTTTACGTACCCACGCTAGCAAACCAGTCTCCGATCCGCAAACAAAAATAATTTGTAAACAAACCTTACTGATCTCTCTGTTTGCCCTATACAAACTTAGCCTGAGATTGCGCCTAAACGGTGACCAAGACACACAGTATCGAATGAGGCAAACTTTTTGCTTCAAATGCCAGCTAAATGCGCACTATGATAAAATAGGCCATGCGGTCGGCTAGCACGATGAACACTCTGCATGAACACTGTAAAGCTCAGTCGATTGATACCAGCTGAAAATCTTAGCAGTGTTTGAAAGAATTTAAATAGCGCTTCATCGTAAAAAGCTTTCATTGCAATAGTAGCGACTTACAACTATAAAGATCATTCTAAAAGAACAACGGAAAATGAAGCATAAACAGGAGCCCATCACTAAAGCAAAAATTTCGAAATTTCAGTTGCTTATCAGCAAATAAACACATTCCTTCCGAGTCGTTGCGTCGGGTGTTCCGCAAAAACAAACGTGATCGAGTTCAACACATAAAGAAACCAGACAATAAACGGAACATCCAGGCAACAATTTATTTTTAAAAGATCCATTCTTAAACATTTACGCTCATACAGCAAGATACAAGAAACATTCCGAGTGAACCACATCGGTAAAGATCGCGCGGCCTCTTGTCAGTACTTTCTGGTATACGCTGACTACGGATCGGGGTCATAAATCGAATGCCTCTTAAAACGTTTCATGTTCGATGGATTCTTTCCTCAAACCTCACACCACTTCCTCTACAATAAAAGATTGCTGGGTTTTCTCCTTCTGATTCCAGGCACTTGAGAGAGTAATATGGCGTTTAGAACTTCCAGAATGGACCAAATAGCTCTTGAACACTGATGTAATAGCTTTCTCTGGCGTCTCAGAGTCGATGGAAGAACTAAAAAAGTGGTTTCCGGTTAGAACTTTTTTCCAGGCGGTCTGGTCTTTAGTTCTACGGCGTGTACGCGTCTTCGCACAGTGTCAGGGAAAGTTGCACAAATTCAAGACCGGTTTTTATCCTTTCTTGGCTTTCAGCCACCCATCAACCACTAAGGAAAACTTACAGTTGATGAATGAACAGCAGCACGTTCATGGGATGAATTGGATTGAGTTTAATTCGTTTCAGTTCCGTTAAGTGAATCAGGACTTTCTAGCGCTTCTCTGTAGAGAAACACTTTGTGGAGAAAGGTTTACAGCCTCAGTTAGTGCGGGAATTCGATTCCACTTTTGTTTTCTGTCATATTTAGTTTAGAGGAAAGATAGATAGATAGATAGTTTATTAATAACCGATTTGCAACTAAAAGTTGAATTATACGATTATTTACAAAGAATTGAATATTGATAATTACATTAAAAAGACTACAAGTGATTTAAAACAGCAAATAAGGACACTATATTTATGTTCCAAAAAAAATATATAGAAAAGGTTTAAAAAATTTACTAAAACCGTTTAAGCCTTAAGGGCGTTAAAGGTAATAAAACTACTACGAAACCTGTTCGTCTTAAAAGCTGGCTTAAAATTCCGCATATTTCTTAGGTTAAAGGTACATGTGTTGCGAGCAGGAAGAAGTTCATGGAGCTTGTTCTGTTTGTTCTGTAAAACATCCTTAAATGTTGTTTAATGTTGTTATGTTTGCGTCGCCAGTTAGATATATACGGAAGTTAAAGTTTTAGCCGTCTCCGTGCTCAAGTCTCAAAGTCATTCGTCAGCGACAAGGGAAAGTCATACACGATGGAAGGGGATTTTTTCACCAAAGGCCAATCTTGAAAAAAGGTCCGCCAGACCAGAAATCAAGATGCCGCACATGCGCAGAAGCGTGTCACAGTCCCTTTCAACGTGTTTAAGTTCTGGCCAAAGTATCCTTTCTTGGCTTTCAGCCACCCATCAGCCACTAAGGAAAACTTACAGTTGATGAATTAACAGCAGCACGTTCACGGGATGAATTGGATTGAGTTTAATTCGTGTCAATTCCGTTAAGTGAATCAGGACTTTCTAGCGCTTCTCTGTAGAGAAACACTTTGTGGAGAAAGGTTTACAGCCTCAGTTAGTGCGGGAATTCGATTCCACTTTTGTTTTCTGTCATATTTAGTTTAATGATGTTATGTTTGCGTCGACAGTTAGATACGGAAGTTAAAGTTTCAGCCGTCTCCGTGCTCAAGTCTCAAAGTCACTCGTCAGCGACAAGGGAAAGTCATAGACTGAAATGACAGCACGTGTATATGACAAAAAGCTATAATTAATTATCATATCATATCCGCTCAGCCACATGATAAATCTCTGAAGTTTTGTTTGAAGTCTCATTCGGTGTATCACGACTTAGTAGTTGCGGCAGGGAGCTTCCAAGCTTCTAACGCAAAACATTTTGAGCCTACAAAACAAAGAGCTTTGGCAAACAGGTACGCAATTGCAAGTAATGAGCCTTGTTCGATCTGTAGTTACGTCTTGTAATACTTTTACTTATTTTTCTAGCCTGTGCACAGGCTCTCTGTTTGAGGAAAGGGTGAAAAAATCGCGAGGAGAGGGAAGGGAAAGGGTGAGAGCTTGGGACCGTCGTTCCACGGCACCCGCTGTGCATCAGATCCTGATGCAAGCTCCCATTGGCGAGAACACTGACTGTTGACAGGTTTGATTTACATCGCTTTTTTGGTGGGCACGTAGCACGCGATTTGATTTACCGTATTTATTCGATTAACCGCCCTGGGCGCTTATTAAATTTTTGGACCTTGAGGGTGGGCGCTTATTCGAGGTGGGCGCTTACTCGAGGCTGGGCGCTTATTAACTTTTTCTGCCTTTAGTATGGGCGCTTATTCGAGGTGGGCGCTAATTCGAGGTTGGGCGCTTATTCGAATAAATACGGTAAATAATCGCTTGTAAACAGGTCTTTTGATCTTTAACATGGCGTCTTCTGGCGCTTGACTGATGAGCTTTTTTAGCCGCAATGAATGTTCTTGAATCAGAGGGCAAATCACGCCGACCAGAAACAATAACCGCAGAAAATCAATATGCACGTCACGACCTCTTAGTATGAAATAAGCGACAAAAATCACATTTTCTCATTTAAAACTAAACCCTCCAGAGCAGAAAAATTCATTGGAAAAAGCAGCATTTTGGCACCAGGTAAAAGTTGTGTGTTGCCTACCGACCACTTTTTTACACGCGAAATTGATTACATTCCAATGTATCCAAGTGACAGATAACGATCTTGCTGACAGATGATCGGCAATTACAAGACAAGAATGCGGAATAGCGGCTCAAATGTTTGTCCACAGGCTCTCACCCTTTTCTTTCCCTCTCCTCGCGATTTTTGCTGACCCTATCCCAAAACAGAGGGCCTGTTCACTCCGATAATAAAAAGTACTGTACTAGAGCAGCAGTCCCCGTGGGTTGCGCTTATATCAAGTTTTGGTGAATTTGTATCGTAACAATTTGCATAAAATCATAAATTTGCCATCTATATCCGTATAAAAATAGTCCTAGAAATTTTTCATCTGTTCGGATTTCCTAGCTGAAAGTCTAGTGATCCGAAATTATAGAGATCAAAACTTACCTTTTCGAAAATTTCAGCCAGAAAAAAGGATCCCGAAAATTCTAGGTGACCTTTTAAGGGTAAAAGTCCGTTAAAAATGGGCAATTATACCATTTTTTAGATGTTCGAAAATCCAAGGAGAGGCAGGCAAGCAAGAAATTTTACAACAAATGTTCCGAAAATTCTAGATCGCAAATCGTCTTCCGAACAGATATTTTCCGAAAATTATCGTTGGGTGCCCCTGCGTCGTTAGAAAAGGTATCGGCGCGCCATGTATATCTATTTATCTTTCCATGTCTAAAACAATTCCCATGAATCGAAGTTCGGAACAGGCCGATTTCAACGAGTACAATGTAACGGGAAGGTGTCAGACTGGCTGCCTCTTCGCTGTGGTGTGCCGCAAGGGAGCTTTCTAAGTCCGCTTTTTCAAATGTCTTTGTGAAAGATGCAAATTACTAAGCTGGATATTCCTCCCTACGTCTGTATGCTGATGACACTACGCAATATATAGCCCATAAGAGACCCTGCACACTTGAAACGACATAGAGAGATTAACCCATTGGTTCACTGCGAATTACCTGCAGTATACGCTACTAAAACTCAGGCAATGACACTGGGGAAATCTCAGTACCCATGCAATATTTTTATTGGTGACAAGTCCATCGAAATTGAACGAATTCTCAAAATTGGATCGGGATTTGTCCTTGAAGCCCCATGTTGCAATCATGCTGAAAAAAGCGTATGCTAAGATAGCTGCACTACGGAGAATTAAGCGCTTAGTTCCTTCAGACGTAATGATTTCTCTTTTTAAAGCCTACGTGTTACCGCATTTAGAATTCGGCTACCTATGACTTTTGCCTTGCAATGGCTGCTATGGTCACGCTTGAGCAAAGACGTATCCTGCCATCGCTTATTCTTTTTTTCAAGTGTTTTAAACTAGATGGCCCAAATTATATCTCCCGATTTTCTACACCCCGATTAATTATTTACAGCTTACGAGGCAGTGGCTTAAATATTGTGCAGCCTCCATATAACAACCTCGTCATGGACAACTCCTATTTGTACATGATTGCCCACATATGGAATCGTTTACCAGATGTCGCCAAATCCTCGACCACTTTAGCACAATTTCGTGCTCGCCTGAATAATGTTAAATTCACAGGGTGCCAGTGTATAAACTGTATATAATTTTACCTATTTTACATTTTTACATACTCTTGGGTAGTTTATATTTTATATATATTTTTTAGTAATTTAACTAATTTACAGTTAGGATTAGTCCATTTTAAACTATTTTTAAATGCATGCACTTAGGCTTTTTTTTAAATTATTAAAAAAAAAATAGTTTCTTAAAAATTTTCCCAAAATTACGATGTACTTAGTAGTTAGGTTTTATATACTTGTATATGCATATCCACATTTTATCTTGTTTTGTACTTTTAGTTTGTCGAGCTTTTTAACATGAGCCTCTGGCTCGGAAGATTGTGCAAACACTTCCCACGTTCTTCGACATTAAATAAATCATTATATTCTATTCTATCCCGAAACATTTTCGGCTCCAGGCTGGAACCTAAAGGCCAACGCGCAGAGTTTAGCGCACTGAAAGAGAAGAAAACCGGATGGCCTTAAAAAATAGCCTCCCCGCAGACGTCCTTTCGGGTTCGTTTGTCATGTATTCATTTCTCTGAATGCGTGACGAAGGAACCCCAAACGACGTCTGCGGGGAGGCTACTTAAATAAAGACTGAAATCGAATTTAGCACATTATAACATTGTATAACTGCAATAAATCGGCGGGGGCCAAGCTGGAAGCCTACAACTATGCTCAACGGTGTAGGATTAGGCGTTGCATGATAGATTATGCTCGAGAATCAGTGTTACAGAGAAAAAAAATCAACTGTTTGTCTGCCTGTTTTCACATTCGTGGAGCCTACTTGTAGGTCCTGGACCCTTTCCAAGTCGACGCAGGCGCATAACAAGCTCGGTTACCCAAGATGGTGTCTGCATGCTGGTCGTTAATTGTTTCAGTTTTTATAGTTGTCAGACAATGAATTATGTACTTCCTAGAAGTAAATGACAATGCATTGTTATTGAGGGTTTGTTTTTACCAAATTTAAAGTAAAAAGAGGAAGTATAATTTCTGAACTGTTTTCTAAAATTAGCATATTTTACCAAAACTTGCATAATTAGTGGCATAATTTTTGAAATATACGAAAACTGATAGTAGCATATTATGCTACTTTTACGGGGACAATCTATCAAAGCCTATCTAGGGGTGCGTTTTTCTTGAGAAAATCCAAATCAGGATTTCCGAATCCAAACACGGATTTTGCGTTTTTTTGGGCAAATCCAAAAACGGATCATGAATCCATAAAATCCTCTCTCTGTGAGTGGATTCTTCGGATCAAATCTAAATCCGGATTTTTGAGATTCACAATCTGAGCGTTTTTTGGGGAAAGGATTCGAAAAAAGTATTTTTGACATTGTAACTGAACTTATGTTGCTGACGCCTTAACTTTGAGCCATTAGTTACATATCATTCCATGTTTGCTATCTATTTACATTCGTAGACTGTTTTGAAATCCTTACTTGTTGTGTTTTTTTTGCACATATGTAGTGTCTGCTTACGCTGGTTTATTTTTCAAGTAATTAAAAAAAAACGGTTCATCGGCTTCAGTTTTAAATTGTTATAATTTTACTATCCTTAGGAGAGTAACACAATCCTGGTCAAAACGTTTGGGACACTGTATTTAAGGTTAGGGAAATGCAATTCAACTTTACCCCAGCCCTCCCCTCCCCCCTGGACAGTTAAGTGTTGGGTGTCACAAGTCAAAAACACCTTTAACATATCTTGTACACGTTAAGGATCCCAACGTTGTTCGGGAAGGGGACGGGGGAGTTGGGAGGAAAATCTTGTTAAGGTCGTGTTTATGAGTGCGCCATTGCTGGTTAGCTGCAAATTCCATAGAGAACGCGTGAAAAAGGGGAGGTGTCCCAATACCTTTTGAACAGGATTGTAGGTTTATAAAGAGGAGGAAGAAGCAGATTGACAACTACAGGAAACGATTCAAATTGTTTCTAGATAGAACCATAGTCAGGGTCAGTCAGACGTGAGATCATCAAAGTCCTGGAAATTGATTCAGAATTGACTCCTCTTTGTGTTACTTTATTTAGCTCAAGTAAATCTACCCGACATGCCTTTCCAGGCACAAATTAACCGTATGAACGAGGACTTTCGAGAGCAAAACGAAAAACTGAAGCAACTCAAGGAACTGGACCTTTTCGTTTTGGAAAATTCCTTCCGAGAAAGCACTTTGGGACAGATTCATAGCTATAGTGTCGAAAACAGATGGAAAATGTACAATGAGGTGAGCCAGTCCTATCTGAAAATTTGTCATATGATTACTCTATAAAGTGTTTAAAAGAACAAAATTTGGAGACTGGAAGAGCGTGATATGATGTTCGCTTGTTAAGAACTTCAACTTAATGTGTTTCTTTTCTTCTCTTCCCCCTCGATTTCGTTAGTTTTCTGAATCTGCCTCTTCCTTCTCCTCCTCTTTTTGCATTTCCTTCTTGTCTCCTGTTCTCTTTTTCTGTCCCTCATCCTCTTCTACTTCTCCCAGTCTCCTCCAACCCTTTGTCCTTTCTTCAACGCGTTTCTTCTTCTCCTCCTGCTCCTCCACTTTCTGCTTCATCTTCTCCTAATTCTGCTCCTTCTTCTTCTTTCATCTTCCTCCCTCCTCTCTTCCCCTCCTACCCCCTCCTTATGACTCCCACCTTTCTCTTCTTCCTTCCCACCCTTCTTTTTTACCTTTTCCTTCTCTTTCTTCTTCTTTTCATCCATATCCGCTGACAATTATCACATGACCATCTCGCGGGCTCAGATGAAAGACCAGTCGTTTTGCCCCTACATATAAGCTGATATAATATGTCACTCTTGCCTACTAATAATTCCCACCGCTACTCCCAGAAACTAGCCTTACAAAACAAAAAATTGGAACGCCCTAATTCCACAAGTTTTTGTTTCGTTTTTCATCTACAGGTGAAAAAAGTAGGCTTCCAGAATATCATCCTCGCATCGTTTAAGCACAACACCCGTCTGGAAGACACCTTCTGTCGTCAACTTAAAGAAAAAGGAGAAGACTTCAGTAAATTTTTTGCCTTCACGGAGTTCATTGAATCTGTCGACAAAGATAGAGCTCCCGATACAGTAACTGTTCCCATTGGTTTACAAAAAATGAAAGAGTATGGCATCAAACATCCCATTATTGAGGTTGACTTAGTCCACAGTGGCATCAACTACAAGAAGTTTCTTTCTGAAGATATCAACAAGCTTCTGTCTCTTCGAATGAGGTGGGTGAGAGAAAATCTTTCCAAGGATTCCCGCATATTCATCAACCTGCGAGACTTTCCACAGAGTATGCTGAGGAAGCCTGAACGAATTTTCCAAGTGGTCCATTACTTGTCGTCTTTGCCCCCAAGTGAGCGTCCCTTTGGTCTGATGTACGAAGAACCAACTGGCGAGTCCATGCCACAAGCACTCGCTGCCTGGACGGCGGCGGTTCGTAGAGAGATGAACGACTGTTGTTGGAAGGAAGGTAAGCTATTGGTGCATGTCCACGAGCAATGGGGAATGGCTGACTGCACCGCGTTGGAGTGTCTTGCCAGGGGAGCAGATGGTATTTGGGCGAGTTTGATTAAAGAAGGGGGCGCTACTGGTCACGCCTCCTCTAGCGTGACCATAATGAACTTGGTCCGTCTTGGAAATGAAAAGGTTTTACAACAGTTTAACTGCAGGTACCTTCGTAAAGCCGCTCAAGAGGTCACTAGGATCATCACTGGGTTGGAACCTCATTCAACACAGGTTGTGTATGGTGAGAGAGCCCTTGATATGGTACTCGGAGTTCCCCATTTGCAGCCATACAAGCAAGAATTTGATGTTGCCAAGTTCTTTGGAGAAGTGCCTACAATACGAATACCTACCATGGCCACACCTAAAATGATCGCTGAAAGACTAAAACATTTGTTCGGAGAGGATCCACAGTTCACGGAAGAAATAGGCATGAGAATGAAAGAGGTCATGCTGGAAGATCTGCACAACAACAGGAAAGAGGAATACATGAGCGCAGTTGGTCTTGCAGTTCTATTTGACCGGTCTGGTGGCCAACTAACCGCCAAGATGAGCGACATGATTGCAGCACATGTTCCAAACGAGGCTCACGGTGAAGAATTGATCAACGAAATTCGGCAAATGTGGAATGAGTGGGATCTTAGAGAGGAATCCAAAAGAGATGACGAGCTTGAGTTCGATTCATTTTACAACGGCTTCATGGCGCCCTACTTTAGCTTCTATAGATGCGAAGACATCACAAAGCGCGCATTGAAGGCGATCGACATAGATGGGGACAGCAGAGTGGATTGGAAAGAGTTTGTACTGTACCTCAAGTGGGCCATACGTCAGTATCCTCGGTCAATGACCGTAAAAGAGCTCCTGTTCATTGCTTTTCGAAAGGGCATCATTCCGGTCATGCAGGATGTGGTCACTTTGCAAAACACGGAAAAAAGAATCAATTCCGAAAAAGCCTAAACAAAAACGAAAGGTTCAAAAAATCTCCAAAAGGATTTCTAGTTTGATATGCACCATAACTTAGATTTTGATATTTTCATTCAAAATTAGCGTTTTAAAACGAGGTAATATTCAAATCGCGGTTCACCTTGAATAGAAGAAATCAAATGGAAGAATTATTTTCCTGCGTTTAAATGTATACCTTTTACATGTCAGACTTCACTTTTACTAGTGGACAAATTTTATCTTTAAAACCCTTTAATACGGAGCCCAGGAAGTGCCATGCAAATTTTGTGCTCGATTTCTCCTTTCTCGACTTTTTTCTGGCATTTAAGTTTTTATCCCGACTTTTTTCACCGCTGATCACATACATTAAAGCCTCATTCATGGGTAGAAGTGCTTCAGGAGACATGGCCAGGTTTGATTCTTGGCTTTGTAACTATTTTGTTTATCGCTGAAAATGTAATAGCGTACAGTTTGACCTCCCTACCTTCCTGTCTTACAACAAGGCAATACTGAGCCAGGAAATGTTATTGGGAGCTACTACCATTTTAGAATGAATTTCAGAGATCTTGCTGCTTATCGGGTTAACCCATTGTTTTTATATAAAGTATTTGGCATTTGAAGAGCATTTTTAATACAGGGGCGGATCCAGGATTTTTTTTAGGAGGGGGTGCACTCGTCTCTTGCTCTACTTCAACACCAATAAACCACATAGTTTTTTTTTTTCTGCAGAATACCAGTTGTATTAGAAAACCGTAGGTCATCTCAGTGGAGGGTGCGCACCCCCTGCACCCTCCCCCTAGATCCGCCCCTGTAATATTCCTGGTCTTGGAAGGCGAGGAAACCGTAGTAACCCCAAGAGGTTGTTTTCTATGCAAAGAGATAGCATTGCGTGGTAGTGAAAGTCAGGGACTGCGTACCTTGTAAGGTTGTGGGGAAGAAGGAGGGGAGGGGCGGGGGCGGGGGGTGTAATCCGAACCCGTAAGGCTCTGCATTCATAGGGGAGAGAAGGTAGGAGGCATGATACCTAGGTAAAAGGACCGTTACATTTTCGCCTGTAGTTCTGTTTAAAATTACTCCCATTTTTCTCTGCATGAATTGTTGTTTGACTTTTTAGAGCTTAAGTGTTATCGTTTTATGATACCAAGAGAGAACTGCTCATTACCATCAACACCGGTATTTGAAAACGGTACCGGTGATTTATAGCGAAGAAAAACGCGAAAACATAAATGAGGATTAACAGGGATAAAAAGAGCGAGAACGTCTGAAAACTTGAACAGAACTGTTAATGAATGTTACAACCTTGAAATCCACAAATGTATTTCTAACACAGGCTCTTACGAAAAAGTGACTAAATTAATTATTTTGAAAAGGTGTTATATGCTAATTATCTGAATAAATTATTAGTTGAATTGAGTTGAATAAATTAACCGTTAACTTTAAGAGCCATTGTCAAAACAATGTACTTAAATAACAACAACTGTGTTTGAGCTGCGTGTAGGATGTTTGGGTTTGAGCGGATGAAGTAAGGGATGGTCAATGAAGTTGGAAGCTATTTTACCACCGTAGACACTTTGGATAATTAGGTTCATCCTGAGCACTTTGAGACTGAAACAATTCTAATTTTTCCAATCTGCCATTCACACGTTTTCCTAGCTCAGCATTGCCATTGCCTTGTTGTAAGATAGGAAGGTACGGAGGTCAAACTGCATGGTATTACATTTTCAGCGATAAATAAAATAGTTACAAAGCCAAGAATCAAGCCTGGCCAATTCTCTAAGCGATTCTACCCATGAATGAGCCTTTGATGTATATAATGAGCAGTGAAAGAAGTCGAGAAAAAAGTCGGGAAAAAAGTCGAGAAAACAGTCGGGAAAAAAATCGGAAAAAAGACGGGAAAAAAGTCGGGAAAAAACTTTAAAGGCGAGAAAAAAGTCGGGAAAAAAGCTTAAAGGCGAGAAAAAAGTCGGGAAAAAACTTGAAGGCGAGAAAAAAGTCAGAAAAAAACGCCGTTTAATTGGAAGCCTGAAGGCTAGCGTGATTTTACGGCCTTGTTTACGAAGTTTGCGTTTATGAAGACCTTTGAAGAATTCCTGATCTAATATAGGAAGCAATCCTTGTATAAATGTCTGATTAATTTGTCTTGTCCTGCTGACCGGTATTACCGAAGAAAATAGTATCGTTCAACGGGACATCCTAAATTTATAGCAACATTTGTTGGCATGTACATCACCTTAAGCTTAATTTTACTGTTCAACTGTGTTGTAGAACTTGATTTCTGTAGATTTCTACAAGCTTAGGATAACTCTATAAGAATATTTTTGTTCATAAAAGTGGCCTTGTCCTTTTGGCCGGTATTACCGAAGAAAAAAGTACCGCCTAGCGGGACAGCCTGAGTTATTGCAACACTTGTGAGGATGTATATCATATCTGGCTTTTTATTGTTAAACAGTGATACAGAGCTTGCTTTCTGTAGGTTTCTACAAGGCCACGGTAACTAAACAGGAATGCTTTTATTCATGATAAATGCCTTGTTCTTTTGGCCTGTATTATCTAAGGAAATAGTACCTTCTATCAGGACATCCCAAATTATGTCAGTAGTTCTTGCATGTAAGCTTATATAACACGCATCTTTTTATTGTTACATTGTAATACAGACCTTGCTTTCTCAAGGTTTCTTCCTACCCGCAGGGAACAGTTGAATAAAGATAATTTTATTCATTCCTTGTTGTTGGTATCACCCAAGAATGTCCACCCAGGGGACACTCTAATGAGTGGGGAATACCCAGGTATACCAGAGACGGGGAAGTGCAAAAAGCTTTTTCTGGTTTGACATTTAAAAACAAGGCCAACTGAACAGAAGTGATTTTATTCTTGAAAATTGTCTTGTCCTTTTGAATGGTATAAGTTAAGGAAATGGTACCACCCAGCGGGACATCTGTTGTTATTTCCTGTCCTCGCTTTTTGTGTGTTGTTTGGATGCAAAGTATAACTCAGCAATTAAATGTTGCCGACAGTTGGCTGCACTCTCTGACTGGCACTGCACAGAAAAAACCTACCCTACCCTCATCTTCAGTCTGTAATAAGGTTTTAAGAGCGGCTCCGCGTAAATATCAACTAGGCGTGGAAATAGTCAAAAGATGACCTGGCCTCAAACTCAGCCAGAATAAAGCCCTATGGGCCCTAGTTACAAAATCGTTGGTTTAAGTACGATCGAGTGAATAATATTTCTTTAACGAATTTTTCTCTTCCCGAGGCCTAAAATGGGCAAAAATCATGCGAAATTAGAGTCATATTCAGTAACTCGTACATTTTAAAATAAAGTTGGCTACTAAAATATAACGACACTTCATATTTTTTCTATCTTTCTCTATAATTTTAACTGATTAGTTCGCCATTTGGTCAACAACAGATTTTTTAAAAATTTTTCAAAGTTGTTGACTCAAAATCGCTTAATCAACCGTCAAAATTTAGCACTTTTTCACGAGCTAAAAAAGCGGATTGGTACATGGCTTTGAACACCAAGGCTTGTAATTTGGGAAAGAGGGAAGAAATTCTTCCATGCTGTGCGCTAAAACATTTATGAAATAAAACTAGCTTTGGGACTGTATCTTTTGTAACTAGTTAAAGAAACGAATAACTTTTTCCCGTTTTTCCTCGAGGGGCGCTGTGCACTTCTTTTATTTCATCTGCTGTTTATGATGACTGTGTTTCAAGTTTGGAACCAGAGTACGAGTAGTCCCCCATTTTTCCTCAGGGATAGTAGAGCGAGCGAAACGCGAGCGCGCATGAAAATCACCCCACGCGAGAAAAGGCTAGCTCAGAACGTGCATCTATAGCTAGCAATTGGTGTGTTCGAATTACCGAATGCTGTAGAAAGAATATCAAATGGAACCAAAGCAGTGGCGGATCCATTGGGATGGTCCGGGGCTCCGGACCCCCCGCCCCCCACCCCGCCCATCAGACCTGATACTTGTTTGAGACTAAAATCCTTCTTATAACGATAGGATGGCTGAATTTTTAATGAAACGCGTGTTGTATTTTGCCACCAAACTAAATTCCAGGGATATTCATAAATGTGATTGTCTTTGGGTACCCTCCTATGATCTGTTCGCCTCTGCTCGCAAAGCAGTCCAACGGCGACTGGCTTTTACAGATTGAGAAACACGTAGTCGCCTCTGCCTTCTCAGTGACTAGTGGGAGGGGGTGTGGGGGAAAAGTAATTTGTCACAACAAAGTTCAACAGTCCTTTCTGAACCAAAATTTGGACCTTCCCCCACCCCAATGAAAAATTCCTGGATCTCCCCCTGCAAAGATGTTACTCTGAGTTGGGAGCCAATCAAGACTTATGCTGGCGCGTGCAAGTAAATCAATTTTTTTCGAGGTATATTAGAGGCTCCCTTGTAGGACGAAAAACAGTATAATTTTTTGAAATATGAAAATTGTGCCTGATCATGTGTATCCTAGAGGAACAAGAGACATATTTGTTGCGAGCCTTTCTAATCGTCGGTTTGCTGTGGTTCGGTGGTTCCCTGTGTTGAAACATCCCGACTAAAAGCCAACAACAGGGAATGATCCGGATCTCAAAAAAAAATTTGGTTAAGTTGAAAGGACAAAATCAAGGATCAAAATCAAGGATTGACATGGATGAAGACGGCAGAGTTGATTGGAATGAGTTTGCACTCTACCTCAAGTGGGCCATTCGTCAGTATCCTCAGACAATGACTGCAGAGCACCTCCTGTCCATTGCTTTTCGCAAGGGCATCATTCCAGCCATGCCGAGGACGTGGTCATTTCGCAAAAAACGGAAAAAAGAATCATTCTCGAAAGACCTGGGCAAAGACGAAAGGTTAAAAAAAACCCAAGAAAGATTTCTAGTTTGATATGTACCATAACTTAGATTTTGATATTTGCATTCAAAATCAGCGCTTTAATGCAGGGTAAAATTCAAATTGATGTTCGCCTTAAATAAAAAAGAAAAAGAAGGTACTCACCTGCGTTTTTTACTTCAGATTTAC